ACCATCTCATTTAATCTTTACAATAATCCTACGAGAAAGTTGCCATTTTGTTTAATTAGAAAATGGAAGGTTAAAGCATTTTAATACTTGCCTAAGTCATCTCAAGTAATAGGGTTGGCAAATCCATATCCTTAGTCACGATGCTACACTGCCTTTTTACAATTGGTGCTTTAACTAATAAAAATGGTGGTAGTTTTTTTTTTTTTAATATCTGTACTAAAATAAAAAAATAAATGTATGAATAATCCAAATAGTGCATATCCATTATACTTTAGTAATAATCCCCAATTACTACACACAATTGGATAAAAAGGACAATAGCTTAGGAAGCTGTGAAATGGTAGGTTCAGTTTTCAAAGCTCATAAAGACACAGCAACAGCAGCAGGGATATTATTTCAAGTTTCCTGCTGATTGCCTTTGGAGATAAGCTCTTAGTTCTAAAGTGCATTCTGTGTTTTGGGCCTTCTCTTATTACTAAAACACAAGCTGAGATGGAAAAATCATCAACCTTGCAAAGACTTAGAGAATAGAAGCCACAGCCTATAGGAATATCGTCTTTTAAATTTATTACCTGTTATGCATTGATTTATCACATGTGGCAGGAATTTAAACCAGACGTGTCTGCTTAATGGAGGGGCCACCCCATGACGGACAGGGGAGAGGAAAGGAGTGTGACCTCTTCTAGAAAGCAGAGAAGGAGAACCTGTAGGTGGTTCAGAAGTTTCCTTTTATGTTAGCTACACAATAGAGTAAAAGTTCTCTGATCATCTTTTCAAATTAACCGGGACTTCATTTCTGAATCTGGAGGTTGTTGAGATTTCTGGCTTAGGAAATACAATTATTTTCATTTCGAGGAAGATCTAATATTTTCAGAGTAACTTTTACTTAATCTCAAGCAACACATTCTTGGAAAATACAGTTCTAATATGTCAATGTTAACAGCTACTCATCCCATTTGCTCATTTTCATGTGGAATTTAGATATCACATTCTAATAGCTAAAATTCAATAGCACATTTTTTGTCTGCCATCTGTTTTTTTAACTGAAGGTTTAAAATATCTTTCAAGTTTGTATTTAAATTAGAGGCCCGGTGCACGAATTCATGCATGGGTGGGGTCCCTCTGCCACGCCGGCAATTAGGGCCAATGGCGGGGGGGCACTCGGGGGCTGGTCAGCTGGGGAGAGGAATAATGGGAGGTTGGCCCCAACAGCAAGCTAACCAATGATCAATTTGTTCATATTGTTGTATTAGCTCCTTCCCTTTAACACTGATTAATATTCCTTTGTATAAATACTTAAAAAAAAAAATCCATAATTTTGCCGAAACCAGTTTGGCTCAGTGGACAGAGCGTCAGCTTGCAGACTGAAAGGTCCCAGGTTCGATTCTGGTCAAGGGCATGTACCTTGGTTGCGCACATCCTCAGTAGGGGGGTGTGCAAGAGGCAGCTGATCAATGATTCTCTCTCATCGACGTTTCTAACTCTCTATTCCTCTCTCTTCCTCCTGTAAAAAAAAAATCAATAAAATCTATTTTTAAAAAAATCCATAATCTTGTTGATGGACATTTGTATTTGTTTCCAGTTTTTGGTTGTTAGAAACAAAGCTGCCCATTAACACTCTTGGTTACATTTTTGTGAATATATATTTTCATTCCTTTGGATAAGCCAGGAATGGAACTGCTCAATCATTAGGCAGGTGTCATTGTATTAAAAATTCCCAATAATGCAAGAGGCTGTATCATGTTGTATACGAATCTCTAAATCATTGTACAGAGTAAGTCAATCAGACAGAAAAAATACTTATTGTTTGATTCCATTTGTGTGACTTCAAGAGCAGACAAACTCACTGATGATGACAGAAATTAGAAGAAAATTGCCTATTTGGGAAGGGAGACATGAAGGGACTTTCTAGGGGTGGTGAAAGCGTCTCATTATCTTGATTGGGCATTGGTTACATGAATATACACACTTGTCAAGACTCATCCAATTATACACTTAGTAGATATTGCATTTTGTTGCATGTAAATTTTACTCCTATAGGAAGAAAAGTCACCAGATAATTACCTTACACTGGTTAAGCAAGACATAATCTTGTTGATGGACATTCAATGGTTTTGAGCAAATGTATAATGACATTTCTCACTATTGCAGTAGTTTCAATGTGCTAGTATTCCTCTATGTTCTCCCTATTCATCCCTCCCTCCCACAACCCCTGACAACAATTGATGTACTGTCTGTCTCTGCAGTTTTGCTTTTTCCAGAATGTTATAGGATATGTAGTCTTTTCAGATTGGTTTCTTTCATTTAGTCATATGCATTTAAGGTTCTTCCTTATCTTCTCAAGGTTTGACAGCTCGTTTCTTTTGAGTGCTGAATAACATTCTACTGTCCGGATGTACCAGAGTTTATTTACCCATTCACCACCTACGAAGGACATCTTGGTTGCTTCCATGTTTTTGCAATTAACAAATAAAGCTGCTATAAACATCCATGTGCAGGTTTTTGTGTGGACTTAACTTTTCAACCCATTCAAGTAAATATCAAGGAGTACGATTGCTTGATCATATGATAGAAGATGTTAGTTTTGTAAGAAACTGTCAAACTGCCTTCTCACCATTTTGCATGCCCTTTAGCAATGAGTGAGAATTCCTGGTGCTTCACACCCTCACCAGCATTTAGATTCTGGTCATTCTCATAGGTGGCATTGATAGCTCATTGTTGTTTTAATTTGCAATTGCTTAATGACATATGATATTGATCATATTTTCATACACTTATTTGTCAATTGTTTATTTTCTTGGTGTCCAGGTTTTTGTCCATTATTTAATCAGATTGGTCTAATTTAAAAATGTATGTAAACATTATAAAGATAGTAACACAATCAAGCTAATTAACACAGTTACTATTTTTTGTGTGGTGAGAACATGTAAGATCAACTTTCTGAAAAATATGGACTGCTTCATGAATTTGCATATCATCCTTATACAAAGGCCATACTATTCTTTCTGTATCATTCCAATTGTAGTATGTGCTGCCAAAGCAAATACTCAGGATTTTATTTATTTATTTATTTATTTATTTATTTTTAAATATATATAATATATATATATTTTAATATATTTTATTGATTTTTTACAGAGAGGAAGAGAGAGGGATAGAGAGCTAGAAACATCGATGAGAGAGAAACATCGATCAGCTGCCTCTTGCACGCCCCCTACTGGGGATGTGCCTGCAACCAAGGTACATGCCCTTGACCGGAATCGAACCTGAGACCTTTCAGTCCACAGGCCGACGCTCTATCCACTGAGCCAAACCGATTTTGGCGTTTTATTTTATTTTTTACATACATTTTCCCAGTTGTTCCAACACCATTTGTGTAAAAGACTTCCCTATCCCATTGAATTGACTTGGCACCTTGGTAAATACTCAATGGGCTGTATATATTTGGATCTATTTTTTATTTCACTATTCTGCTCTATACACATATACACATTTTATTTTATGATTGTGATATATAATCCAGGCTTGATTCATTATTATAACTTACACATATTTATTATAATTAGTAGGGGTGTCGAACTCAATCAGAGAAGGGGCCAAAATCTAAAATCCAGCCTAAATCGCGGGCCGAATGGTTTACTGAACAGTCATAAACTGTCATTGTGATGGAAACGCAGCGGAGTGCAGTGATGACAGCGTGGTGCGGGCCACATTGCAAGGCCTGGCGGGACGGATTTGGCCCGCGGGCCTTGTGTTTGACACATGTGTACTAGAGACTTGTGCAAGAATGGGCCTTCCTTACCCCAGCTGCCAGCACTGCCTTCACTCTGGCTTGAGCCACCTTTTTTTTTTTTTTTTTTTTTTAATCAATCTTTATTGTTCATATTATTACAAAGGTTCCTCATTTCTTCCCCCCTCCACCAGGTTCCCACCCCACCCTCCGCCCCCTCCCCATCCCTCATTGTCCTCATCCATAGGTGCACAGTTTATGTTCAGTCTCTTCCTCCCTCCCTTTCCCCGATAGTAAATCCCTTTTCAGATAGTAAATCAGTTTCTTAGCATTTTCTCATATCAATAATACCTCCACATGCCCAATGATACACTTCACACAAAAGACACCTCCAAATAGGTCAACCAGCCTCATCCAGGCCACACCCATGGCACTCACAGATCAACACCCCAGCGCTATACTAACTCAACACATCCAGATCTAAGCCTTCATCACTTGATTCAGCAGACCCTCAAGTTCCCACAAAAGTTTCCAGCCATGTCTGAGAGGCAGCCGTGGGGCAGGGGCAGGCGAGGAGCGAGCTGTTCCGGGTCTGGCTGCTCTGGGCCTGGCCTCTCTTGCTCTGGTTCGTTCCACAACCAGCTGCCCCGGGTCTGGTCACTGCCGCTCCCGACCTAGTTGCTCTGGACTTGGCTGCTGCTGCTCCGGGCCTGGCCGCATCCGACCTGGCTGCTCTGGGCCCGGCTGCTCTGGGCCTGGCCGTTGAGCCACCTTTCTGCCTTCCCATGCTGCCCAAAAGCCTGAGCGGCTAGGGTGGTGTGGAATGCCTGTGTTGTCGCCATGGCAATGACGCAAGCATCCCACCTCCTGGCCACTCAGCACCTGCATATGCAAATTAACCCACCATTTTTTGTTGTATTGATTTGCATACTCACTCCTGATTGGCTGGTGGGCATCACAAAGGTACAGTCAATTAGCATGTTACTCTTTTTTAAAAAATATATTTTTATTAATTTTTTACAGAGAGGAAGGGAGAGGAATAGACAGTTAGAAACATTGATCAGCTGCCTCATGCGCCCTCCCCCCTTGGGGATGTGCCCACAACCAAAGTACATGCCCTTGACCAGAATTGAACCTGAGACCTTTCAGTCCTCAGGCCGACACTCTATATCCACTGAGCCAAACCAGTCAGAGCAACATGTTACTCTTTTATTAGTGTAGATTCATTTTAAAAATTCCACGTTTCCTGTGCCTCTAAAAGTATTATGGGCCTTAGGCTGAGCTTGTAGGCCCTGAGCAATTACCTAGTAGCCTGTGGTTCATAATGTTATATTCTTTGTATTATCCCTTATCCTTTAGTAAGGTCTTGTGTGCCTGGCAATAAGAGGTGGTATCGTCTCTACATAGAGATGATATGCTCTTATTAAGTCTTTCTGTAGCTGAAGTTACCCTATTTTTGTGAGAAACCATGTAGCAATAGCTCTGCTTGTATTGGAGGAGGTGGTGAGGGGAAGAATGATATATTTCTTCCTCAGCTTATTATAATTAGAAATATTTGTATGAAAATAGAATCTCTGCTGCTTAAGTGTTGCTCAGCTCCTGCTGATCACTTCTCACTCGCAGGCATCGTCCTCTGTGATATAATAGTTGCTGTGGAGATGATTATCCTGTCATGGAGAAAAAAGATTTATGAATTTAAATAATGAGCAGCAGGAATTTAAAAAAAAAGAGAGATAGATAGAGAGAGAGAGAGCAGCAGGAGCAAAAGAACTATGCCAAAAGGCAAACATTTAATCCAATTCAATCTTCTCTTGCCTTTTAAATATTTATTACATCATAAAGTTGGGCGTACCAACTTAAAAACAAACAAACAAACAAACAAACAAACAAAACCAAAGCTCAGAGTTAATGATAATGACAGAAGGAAACATTAAAAGGAAAGGCAAGATATAGCCGAAGCCAGTTAGGCTCAGTGGTAGAGCGTCGGTCTGCGGACTGAAAGGTCCCAGGTTCGATTCCAGTCAAGGGCATGTACATTGGTTGGGGGCACATCCCCGGTAGGGGGTGTGCAGGAGGCAGCTGGTTGATGTTTCTCTCTCATTGACGTTTCTAGCTCTCTATCCCTCTCCCTTCCTCTCTGTAGAAAATCAATAAAATATATATTTAAAAAGAAAAAGAAAAGGCAAGATATAATGCTGACATTCTTTAGAAAAACAAGAGTGTGTGCAAGTTAAAAAAACACTCAATAATAATAAACATACGCTACTGGGCCGTACTACCGTGGTTTAGATAAACAATTAAGCTATTTGGATAGTTCTATTGCAGGCTAACTTTTGATAAGGTGTTGAGGTCATTTAGACATATTCAACAAGTAGAAACCACAGTGTTGAGCTAGAAACTCTGTGTGTGGGCTTTGTATCAAACAGAGCTGGATTGAATATCACAAGTATTGATTTTAGGCAGGCTACTTGGCCCTCTTTGAAGTTCCATTTCATCAAGCATAAAATTGGGATAAATTTGTAGGGTTGTTTTCTGGGATATTCAATTGGCCTGGATTCATATGGCCATGCCTGTTATTTATAACCAATGTCTCTTCTGGTTGGTCATTGCACTTACCCTGATAGGTCAGTGCCCATTTGGTACTAGTTATTACATTTTCTGAATATCATCTGTCAATCAGGACAGGATAGGCTATGCCATAGTAATAATTTCTAACACCTCAGTGGTTTAACACAATGAAATTATATTTTTTTGCTCTCATAGATTTCCCTGTGGATGTGGCAACTGTCCTCCCTATAATGACTAATAGCTTCCAATCCAAGATTGTTAGAGCAGGAGGAAGAGGGGTGGACATGGGGGAGGCATACCAGTTTTTTATTTCCTTGGCTTGAAAAAAACTAATGAGATTGCTTCTCAATTCATTGGCCAGGACTAGTCATATGGTCCCAAGGGAGGCTAGGAAATATAGAGGAGATTATGCAGTCATTGGTGAGCACTAAGTGCCTTTGCTACATCATTCCTTGTTTTGTGAGGGTTAGATGAAATGCATATAAAGGTTTCATAAAAGTTGTACCTGATGAGCTAGGTCAGACCACAAACGCCGATCCAGGGTTAAGTCTTGGTGTGAATGACAAGTTGGTTGAGATTATTATTATTATTTTTTTAATATTTGTTTATTGATTTCAGAGAGGAAGGGAGAGGGAGAGAGATAGAAACATCGATATAGAGAATCATTGACTGGCTGCCTCCTGCACACCCCTGACTGGGGACTGAGCTTGCAACCCGGGCATGTGCCCTTGACCAGAATCAACCCACAGGCCAACGCTCTATCCACTGAACCAAACTGGCTAGGGCGAGATTATTTTCATTTTCACTTGAAATCAGCAAAAGAACAGAAGAAAGATTACACATAAAATTGACCAAGGATACAGAGCAGTACATGTTGAATATAGCCCCCCAATGCCTCCATCTGCCTTTTTCCTTAAGGAAGCATGTCTCAGGTTCAGCAGCCTCAGCGGCCCAACTGGGGGAGGAATTTGCCAGGTCAGCAGAGCCCAGAACAAATTGTCACTATTTCTGGTTGGACTGGATCATGGTGGTGTGGGGAGTGATGGGGAACCACACATAAGGTCCCACCCTAAAAGGGTAAAATAATTTCTTACTGAGCCAAAGTTATCTATTCCGTGATTTATTCCTTATTGAATTTTTGATACTGCATTGATAATTTCCTGAGTTCATACTTTATGCCTATGGTAAACTTCTACTATAATTCTATAGGGGAATGCTCAAGAAAAAAACAAAACAAAACACCAGCCTTTTCTCCTAAGGAATTTATCATCTAATTAAAGAGATGAAGTCACTATCAGTAAACAAGTCAGTCAATGAATGGCGAAGAAATTTGCCTATCTACTATATACCTAAGGAAGAAAATTTAACAAGAGGGCAGCATATAAAAAGATGTTGACTTTGAGGTACAGATGACCTCCAAAAAATAATGAAAGGAGAGGAAAATTACTAGGAAAGTTAGTCGAAGTCAGGCAACATTGCTTCTCCATGGACAGTTAGAGAATATTTTGGTGTAGGTTCAAATGACAAAGCCAAGAAGTGCAGAAAATTCCAGACCACATTTAACAACAGGACTGATCCTGGAGGCAGAAGAAATTTCTTTTTTTTTATTTATTTATTTAAATCAATCTTTATTGTTCATATTGTTATAAAGGTTCCTCATTTCTTCCCCCCTCCACCAGGTTCCCACCCCACCCTCCGCCCCCTCCCCATCCCTCATTGTCCTCATCCATAAGTGCAGTTTATGTTCAGTCTCTTCCTCTCTTCCTTTCCCCGATAGTAAATCCCTTTTCAGATAGTAAATCAGTTACTTAGCATTTTCTCATATCAATAATACCTCCACATGCCCAATGATACGTTTCACACAAAAGACATTTCCAAATAGGTCAACCAGCCTCATCCAGGCACTCACAGATCAACACCCCAGCGCTATACTAACTCAATACATCCAGATCTAAGCCTTCATCACTTGATTCAGCAGACCCTCAAATTCCCACAAAAGTTTCCAGCCATGTCTGAGAGGCAGCCGTGGGACAGGGGCAGGTGAGGAGCGAGCTGTTCCGGGCCTGGCTGCTTCAGGCCTGGCCTCTGTTGCTCTGGTTCGTTCCACAACCAGCTGCTCCGGGTCTGGTCACCGCCGCTCCCGACCTAGTTGCTCTGGACTTGGCTGCTGCTGCTCCGGGGCTGGCCGCACCAGACCCAGCTGCTCCGGGCCTGGCCGCTCCCAGCCTGGCAGCCGCTGCTCCGGACCTGGCCGCACCAGACCCAGCTGCTCCGGGCCTGGACGCTCCCAGCCTGGCAGCCGCTGCTCCGGGCCTGGCCGCACCAGACCCGGCTGCTTCGGGCCTGGCCGCTCCCAGCCTGGCAGCCGCTGCTCCGGGCCTGGCCGCACAAGACCCGGCTGCTCCGGGCCTGGCCGCTCCCAGCCTGGCAGCTGTTGTGGAGGCAGAAGAAATTTCAACCCAGTTGCTCTGGACAAGGTGGCACCAGGAGTAAGTTGGACGCTGTCAGAATGGGATGCTTGGGGGGGGGAAGGAGGAAAACTGGGGAGATACAGAGAGGGGCTAATGAGAGAGAAAAGTTGGGCTGATATACCAATAGATTATAGGACTTTTTGACTTACGCCTCAACTGCAATTTTTACCAGTATGTACTTGAAATCTTATTATATTTTATTTCCCCATATTCTGAAATAATACTTAAAACATCCCACTTCCGCCGGGACCGGTTTGGCTCAATGTATATAGCATCGGCTTGGGGACTGAAGGGTCCCGGGTTTGATTCCAGTCAAGGGCATGTACCTTGGTTGCGGGCATATCCCCAGTGGGGGGTGTGCAAGAGGCAGCTGTTCGATGACTCTCTCTCATCGATGTTTCTAACTCTCTATCTCTCTCCCTTCCTCTCTGTATAAAATCAATAAAATATATTTAAAAAAAATCCCACTTCCATCAAACACTTGCTATGTGACTTTCAAATCTCCTAGCCTCAGATTTTTCATCTCTAAAGCAGTGATAACAGTACCTACTTCACATAGCTATTATAAAAAATAAATAAAAGAATGTATGTTTCTAAACACACATTTTCTAATACTCGAGGAATATGTTCTGTCTGTTACAAATTATGTGATGATAAAAACTAAATTTTTTCTTCATACTAATTGTGAAGAAATGAGTCTTAAAAATTATTTTGTGTATTTCTTTATGTTTGAGGGGAAATTAAAACCTGCCAGCATTCAATAAGTGATGTCTGAAAAATGTATACAGTTTGTCAACTAATAGAATATGAAGTAGTTATTTGAAAACTAATTTACATGTGTCTTGGAAGTATTAAAATTACTTAAAACTCACGGCATGTTTTCTTGTAATGAAATGCTCCCTTAATTGTATCCATTCAGCTCACGGAGCCACAGTATCAAGAAAACAGCCTTAATTCCTAATTGCAGATGAAAAAAACACCAAGTGCAAATATGTATATTAAAGTGGAAAGCAGTAGTGCGTGACAAAATCTCAGTGGATTAAGAGCATAAGCTTTTTAGTCAGAAAAAAATAGAGTTTCTATCAAGTTCTGTCACTTTGTAGTTGTTTGATTTGGTGGTGAGGGGCAACCTTATTTCCTAAACTATAAAACAGGGCTGCAGCCAAAACTTGTTTGGCTCAGTGGATAGAGCATTGGCCTGCGGACTCAAGGGTCTCAGGTTCGATTCCAGTCAAGGGCATGTACCTTGGTTGCGGCCACATACCCAGTGGGGACTGTGCAGGAGGCAGCTGATCGATGTTTCTCTCTCATGGATGTTTCTAACTCTCTGTCCCTCTTCCTTCCTCTCTGTAAGAAATCAATCAATAAAATATATTTAAACAAACAAACAAACAAAACAGCCAATGATTTAAAAAATTAAAATAAAATAAAATAAAACAGGGCTGCATATATTCACCTGCAGCCAGCTTGCAAGGCTTAAAGCACAGGCATCTGAAATGACTAGATGTGAGGGATGGCTAATAAGTGGTACCTATTTTATTATTCAGCATGTTCTCGGTAGATAGACTAGGGACCCTGATCTGTAATTACCTAGCTACTCTGGACTCATCACACTTAATATCATATAG